CTTTTAATAATACAATAATTTTATAATACTATTTTTTTGTGGGGAGGAGGCTAACATGCGTTTGTCCACACTGAAAAGCTCAATGTCATCTTTGAAGTAACACACTCCCTTGTGCTCAATGTCACAGAAATACTGGTTTAACACCCTCATTACCTACTTAGAACACTAGCCTGGAACTGTTCAGCACATTACGACAGGCTCACCCTTTTAACTATGTCATTAGGACTATCCTTCATATTTTCTTCCGAATGCTAAAGATAATAATCGACCTTCATAGCCTGAAGTATAGTCTCGGTCAACTGTTTGACAGAGTACCAGGTGCCCTCCCTTTGAAGCATAGCTCCAACAATGTTGTCGGTAGTTGTTTTGACACCGATCTTAGAGATCACGGAGGCTCGGCGGACATGCCACCTGTCACAAAAGAAAGGGTGTGCTCGGCCGTGTCTGCCATGCCGGGCCAGTACAGACAGTCCGAGCTGGCTTCCATTCTCCCATTTTGTACAGCTTAGGCCCGGAAAAGCCCTCGTGACCCGTTAAAACCTGGGTCACGAAATACACGACCTGACTATCGTTTCGGTTAGTATGTTTTATAGTCCACTACGAGTAATAATAATACTTATTATAATTTAAGGACCTATTTGGTTTAATGATAGATTCCTACTTACCTATTCATTTGGTGTTTGAGAATTAGGCCTACGTATCGTGAGTGAACCATTTTTTAACAAGCAATAAAAATAAAAATAAATGGAAGCCAATTGATGGCAAACACCTAGAATGTATACAAATTCGCTGCATCAATCACTCATTTGATACCACTGGGGCGCTGAACCTCGGTTACTATCGTGGTACTGACGTGGCAGTTCCGTAGATTAAACTTCTAAGTTTCCTAATGTTCTAGAGATCAAAGGGATATCAATTAATTTGTCTCTTATATTATTAAATTTAAATATCAAATGCGAGTAGGTAAAGGTTTTGAAGAGGTATTTATAATAGTTTTGTTTTATATTGTGTGTTAGTGAATCTTGTACGAATTTGAAGCTGCTTCTATATTCAGAACTGATGTCAGTGTGCATTTATATTTGTAAAATGTAAATCTTGCATAAAGTGTTTCTGAATCTGAATCTGTGTCAATTTAGAGATTTTTTTGTATTAGGTTCAGAGCATTTGTAAATCATTAACAGATTTATAGTCTTGCTATAGAAATAGAAATTTTATATTGCAATCTGTGATTTATTGATTTATACACATGGAATAGCAAAATAAAAACGTATAACAATATTTATTCAATTCTCTTATGCAATGAACCACTCAAGGAATCAACCAGAACTAAAAAAATATTTAGATTTATTTTAGTATTTATGTGGCAGTAAAGAAGGCGTGTTATTGACTCTAGAGGGGGATCAGGAAGTAAATTTCTGTATCCGCTTGAGTGGAAAATATTGCCCTTAGGGTGAGCCAAGAATCAATATCCAGTTTATGAAGCTTCTTCACACTATCATATCATCATACATTTATATTTTGAGATATAATGTTTTTCAGGTCTATATCGTCATCACCTTACCATACAGGATGTATATTTCCTCTACCAACATTGAGTTTATACATTAAATAAAAATAAAATAAATTAGTGACAACCGTTTTTGAGACTAAAACATTTAAATGTTATGTTTTAAAGATATTGCATTTAATTTATAGACGTGTCGTAACCAACATAAGTTTGTGAAGACTTAAGCTGTATGAAACGAAAGTTGTATTGTAGACATGTAACATAACATGTAAACAAGCTTAATGTTAGGTAATAAGAAGATTTTTGGAGATCTTTTGAAAGCTTGTGAGCTTTTTAATTTAAAGATGAGAGGCTTTTACCGTATGAACACGAAGATTTGGGCCAACCACTCTAAACTTGTTAAAAGAGTGGCTAGACTAATATTTCTTTAAGCCATTTAAATAACATAATATATTATTTAAAGTTGTGGTCACTCTTTTTTCAGATCAGAGCTGGTCAAGGTTGGTGCAATCCTAAAATCCTTTAAAAACTACCAAAATTACAACAGTAAAAAACCATACAAAATCCTTATAAAAACTACACAATTTAAAACATTTTTGAAATTACAAAACAGACAACGCCTAACACAACCATTTGTTTTTCACCAACCAATAATAAAATTTTGTCATTCGTGCAAGTAACAACATTTTTCATACATGGTGAACAATTTTACAAATTGGAATTGAATTACTTTTGTATCACGATCCAATTATTTAGCGTTGCCCTCGGCCTAATAGACTCAATTGTTGAGCAGCGTTAAGGTTACATTGTTTTCAGTGTTGTTCACGTGGAAAGGGATAAAGGGTTATTTTGTAGTTTATTTATATCGTAATGTTATTCATGGTATGGATTAATAACACACTGATAGTATTAACAATTAATGAACACAAATAACAAGAATAAAGTAAAATAGCTTAATTTGAAATTCATTGCAATGATGCTTCAACTTTTGTTTTGTTTCAAATTACTAATTTAAATCTTGGAACTTAAAATCATTTACTTAATAATCCAGTGTAAATATCCAATCTAGATGGATGTATGTAACCAATACTTTATTCATCGCCGTACAACGGAACGAATATAAGCAATATATTGTATAAGCCCTATTGTTCTATTTGTCTACGAGTCACTCACACACTACAGTCAAAAAATATTTTTCTTCCTTATTTAATATTTGCATAGCTTATAACGCACAGCAGGTGCTGTAAAATAAGATGAAAATAAAAAAAAATGGTTAAGCTTGGTTAGTGTGGAAGGATATTGGCAATTTAAAAAGTAGCGCTTTCAGTGAGATACTCAATTAATCTAAGTTAAGATTGAATATAAAATTGGTTACTAGCTTTAACGTAGGATAGAATGTATTGTTCTATTTTCTCATAATGAGATCTAAATACCATCACGTAGCAAACCTGCAGACTAAGCGAATTTCAGTTCGTTTGTTTTGATATTTACTAAAACATTCCCACAAACAATACATAATCTCCATTTAAATACCAGTAGGCCTACCTATTTTTGCTGCTTTAGGGGAGGTAAAAGAGTGCTTTTTTACCGACTGTTAATATTATAGGATAAAGTAAATAGATCCCCCAAATTTGATTAACTTACATCCATAAAAAAGCAAACTACAGAGATTTTCTTTTTCCCATGAGAATAACATGGGTATCTATAGGCTCAGTGCATTGTAAACATAGTTGCATGAATTTGCTAAGGGTAAATTTTCATATAACAGCTAGACGCATGTCACTTCATCTTCTAAACACTACATTCCAAAAACCAACAGGCTTTAGTAGTACTTTATACTTATACTTTTCGATGAAATGGCTACCATACAAAGTAGGTATTTTAAGCCAAGTATATATTATGGAGATGAGTGTAGGATGAGTGGCGCAATCTTGTAGTCTTGTTAGTGCCTAAGGGCGACAATTCATTAGACACAGCTGTTAATTAATAGCCCATACAGCCAATGGCAACTAAGGGACCTACAGTTTATAGTGGAATCCGAACCACAATTTTGCCGTGGTATATACGAATTGGCCTAATTATCAGGATAGTACTGCGGATAATCGTAGTACTCACTCGTGTGGACGTTAATCCACACCAGGGATTATCGTATCCACAGTCCATGCCTATAAATATCCACAATTCGTAACCTCCTAGTAGCTGGATTACAGGACGACGCCACCCATCCCAGTCTAACGGGTAAATCCCAGTAATAAATACGGCACTGGTTAAAATAAATGGAAATGAATATTGTATTTACCAACCAAAATAAAAATAAGTCTATTCAATGAAAAAGTTTCTTATTCAATGGCATTTTTTTTTGTATAACCATAGGTCAATTAGTAATATGAAATAAAACCATTAGGAGGAGCTTAGAAAAATAATAATTAAGAAAAATACTTAGTTTGGAAGGTAGTGTATCTTATTATTAGTTGTACAGTAATTATGTATGTACATCACCCAGAAGCCTCATCCATTGCAAGATCACAATATTGGTTGTTATTGAGCACACGATATTACAACAATACACGATATTGCAACAATACACAATACAGGGTTATTACAAATGATGTTCATGGTTTCATACATACATAAAATATAGTTTTATTTGTTATGCAAAGAAATAGGATGGTTACAACTTTTGAAAAACTCAAAAAGTTTCGACACAGATACACAGAACTGTAAATGCTCGATACGGGAACCCCTTGTGGTACGACAGATGTCAATAATGTAGTCAAGCTCTTGCTAGACTTTGAAAAGTGTGTCTAGCGTCTAGGTCTATTGTTTCGATAGCATTGGTAATCCGTTGCTGGATCTTAAGTATGCTATCTGATAATGGTGGTGTGTACGCCTTATCTTTGATGTATCCCCACAAGAAAAAAATCAGGGGGTGATGTCCGGAGATCTTGTAGGCCATTTCAGGGGTGTGTCATTATTCGGACCACCGAGCTCGTTCCATATCTCAGGCAGCACATTGTTAAGTTCAGCCCTACTACAAGTAACATTCAAATGCAGCAATTTCTCTAAATTCCAAGTGTCACTTGCCAATATAGTGGTTACTAGGAGGATAATCGTTAAACCTGGTTCTAAAGTGTCGTTGCACACTAATAACAGATTGGTTAATGTAATATTCCAACATTGGAAAAAAGCTTTCCTGCCTTCAAATTCAGCCATTACACAACACTTACAACAATTGACTTGACAAACAGCTGATATGCACCCAAACCAATGTAAATGAAACTTTATGAGTTTTTCTTTCCAATGGTACCAACTAAAATAGTCTTGAAACAAATTAACCTAGTTATATTTATAATCAAAATCAGGAACATCATTTGTAATAACCCTGTATTGATCTCTAAGTTACTATGTACTTTTAATTAGGCCTATATCTAATTAGATTTTTCTATCATGAGCTTTTATTTTTACTTAATGATTGTATTATTTTATGTTACAGTTTATTGTGACCCGTGAGTGCAGTGTGGAAGGATCGACGTAGTGTTAGTTGGTGAGCTACATATTTTTAATTATTTAGTTATATATGTAAACTGTTTTGATGTATTACGTACACAACCAAAACGTAATTATGATAAAGTAGTTAACAAAAGGCATACAAATTTGCAACTTTTTCGTCTAGAACTCCGTGTTGTTTTTAACAAGAGTTTGATTTCGGTCTGGATTCTTATATTCCAAGATTAGTAATCACGATACTGTTTAATACTTACCATGCTAAGCAAAATGACTTATTCATTACGCAAAATTTCATAAAAAACTTGATTGATTTTATATAAGGAAAATAAAGAAATCGTAATTAGAATCATGTAATAACAGTTAACCTTTTAGAAGATAGGAAAAATACATTGAATTTTAATTTAAGCAAATTTACTGAACTAATCAAGCAATTAAAATGTGGAAGTGGAATTGACATTTCCAATTAACACTTTGGTCGTCTTTCTGAGCAGTTAACTCCTTTTCTCAACTATTCGTTCTCAGCGTTATTATATTTTTAATAGTCTATATTCGTTTTTGAACACCATAAAAAATAATAAGTTTTGTAATATTATTTCGTCACTTTAACAAGAGCAGACCAAACATTAAGATTTTACTAGAATTATACATCCACTTCAATTCATCATTTAATACGTTTTACCAAGTATTATGGTTCTAAAAATTGTATTTTTAATTCTTTTTGAAGATTATTTATATTGATTCATTTATATTTTATTTATACTCGTATTAATTCATCTATGATTATATTAAGATGGTTTTTTTGCCCCATAACATGATAATTTATAAATTTGGAAATTTAAAATATCGTTAATACACGAAATTTTTAACTAGTCAAAGTTTTCCTTGATTATTTAGTTTAAAGTTCAAGTCATTACAATAATAGTTTGATTTAGAATTTGTCGTTTACAAAAATTAGCATGTACTTCACTTTAGATATTTTTGAGGAAACACCTATTGTATTTATATTATCGATTTGATAGAAAACAGGGACAGGGCTTGGTTATTTAATAGACAACCTCTTCAAGGAACTTACCTTGTTATGATTGTTTTTCTGTTCTTTTTTTACTTAAGTTCCTCCAGAGTTATATTTGACAATTTATAAACAAGAAGTCTGCGAAATAATGAAAGTAATACTTTAAAAGGAACGTACTGAGCAGAGGTGACGGCTAGAGTCTATGCAAATTTAACCTGTTTATGAGACGAGGGATGCAAATGTTGAACAACACCTGTGAGAACCGATAACAGGGTTAAACTGAAAACATTACAATTTCATCAAAACATTTGCTTTAGAGTCAGAGGTATTATGAATTCTCTTTGAATTTTTTTATAATTATTGAGTTGAAATATTTAAACAAATAATTGGGAAATAGACAGCAAATGCAACTTTTAAACTTGTATGTTTTAGTGTATTGAGCGAATAATACTATAATATACTATGAACATTAAACTTGTATTAAAAACTAGTGTTACGCAGTAAAGTGAAGGTTTGCAAAGTAAATTTTAAACAAAATAAATTTATGTTTTCCTTTTTTTCCTTACTGGACACTTTTATAGCTTAATAGACCGTTTTTATCAGTTGCACGAGTGCATTAGAAGCTTAGTTTAAGTGTGTCACAACACATTGCCAATATGGAGTAAAGTATACATTCCATCATACATTAACTTAAAAACCTAATTTGAGTTTTTTTTTTATCTCAAATTAAAATATAAACCAAAATAAATAGTGTTCCTAAATATGTAATACGTTTAACCCAATGAAGAAAATCTATTTCTTATGAATATGTTACTATTATCCTTTTTGTGATTAATATCGAATCTGGACCTAAATACTATTTTCCATTTGGCTTTTGACCAATGATGCGATCTACCAAAAGGCTACTTTAGATGTAACAAGACATATATACTTTTCCTTACTAAAATACAAAAACTGAAAAACCCGTCGAAAGACTCAAAATATCAAAACAAAAGTTAAATAATAATGTAAAATGAAGTATTATTTAGAATGTGCGTCCATTGTCTACTTTTATAAATCAATAGAAAAGTTAATTACAACTTCACTCCGGACAAGACACAAGACCCAGCGGATTTAAGTGGAATAACATGGAGCCGGGTAAAATACAGAAATATCCAGACCATCTGCCAAGGGCTGTTTTGTAGCAAGCAAAGGATTATTTGTTCATTGACTGCAAATGCATTTTGTGTTGTATGGTTTAGAAAGTCTAGAAACAAAAATAATGAAAAATAAATACATTGAAATTGGATATAGATAACAAAATATTTTTCTGAATAATTATGAGGAGTCTCATGCAAATCAAATATTGTACTGTGCTGTAAATTGCAAATTATCAAATTACTAATTCTGCAAGGAGTCACATAAATTGCATACCAAAATGTAAACTATACCTATTAGCCTAGCCTCACCTCAATGTTTAGTCAGTAATAATAGGAATAGTAATGTATAAATAAACGTATAATACTGTATGTAATATTTGTATAGTTCAACAATATTCTGAAGCATATTAGGATTTCAGATAGACATTTTGTCAAATTGGAATAACAATCCCTTGCAATATTAAACGTCATACGATCCAATTTATGTCATCTTTATACCAGTGCAATGACAACCAAAATACCATTCATTCTACGTAATATATGACAAAAATAGGGTCTACACAGAATAAAAACTGATTACCATGATGGTTAAATTAAAGTATTTTTGAAATTTGCATGACAATCTTAAAATTTCTTGCAAAAGCGCTAAATTTCGAGTTTAAAAGTGCACACGACAATTATACGCATATTTAATGAATAATGTATGTGAAGTTTTGGTAATTCTGAGCCAATTATGGGCCAACTTCAATCTTTCTCATATTACCTTTGATTGGTCTTTTGGTTGGTAGTAACAGGAAAATGGAAGAATGTTTAGTCAGAAAGCAAGTATTCGGAGGTTAGTTTAGTCAGTTACTGTATTTATGTTTCCGGCAAAAATATGTATTGGGTTTTAAATGCTGCTACATGCGCCTGGCCTAACCTAACCCGATCTAACCTAACCTAAACAAACTTAACCTCACCTAAAACCAAACCAAACCTAACCTAACTGGTTTGTAGCGGCTGATAATGAATGGCAACGTGGAATGACCTTTGACCTTTAAATATTGGCCTGCTCCAAATTCTTCCTTTCCGGCAAAAATTCTTATTTTTTTCAGTTACTTCTAACCAACAGAACAATCAAAGAAATATAAGACAAATTGAAGTTGACCCATACTTGAATCAGAATTACCGAAGTGTTAAACATTCTTGCAGTGTATAAACTATGCTTGTGTGAAATTATTTATTTTACATGACTGATCTGAAAAAAATTTACCATTTTCTAAAAGTCCAATGATTACAACGATTATTAAAAAAAAATATATACAACACATTGTTTTTACATGAAAAATATTTGTGTTTCCTGTCCAAAATGGAAGCATCATTATTCAACCTTTGCTCAAGGGAAATCTTGCCTGTTAGGATTGTCTAAGCTTTCTTAGACGATCGTAAATCATTCACTTGTCAGCCTCGTGGTATGAAAATCTTCCTATAAGTAGAAATATATTATGTCTTTACGGTTTAGGACCTTATGTTATACCCACACAATTTACTGGATAGGAGAAAATATTTTGTTGTGTTGTTTCTCAAAATGTGATCCGCGGACCCCTGGGGGTCCGCAAAAAACATTCTTGTAAAATTTGTTTTATCTAGACTGTATCACTCCCACCAAATTTCTATTTCTGAAAATGACAGTTTTGGTTTGCTTTTTCGTTTGGTGGTTATATATTTTTTAACTTGTATAAATTAGTCATCTTTTGAAATTATAAATTTAAATAAAAACTATGGGACCATCTGTTGGGTGCCCCCAGTAGTTAGTGGGGGCAGGGGGGTAATTGTAGGGGTCCGCACTTCATACATAATTAAATACGGGGGTCCTTGAGTAGATGAAATTATAGAACCCCTAAGTTTAACTGATGTTATAAAATCGAAACAATTGTAACTGTTATAGTTAAGTTTTACTATTATTAACCTCAAAAAGATTTTTTAATTCGCTGCATTCGTTTAAACTTGTTTCAGGAATCTTGGGGAACTTGTTCCCATGGTGAATTTTCTTTTTAATGTATATCCGAATCACCACTATGGCGTACTGGATTGAGATAGAAATCTCTTATTATCCTCAATATTTTAAATTTGTTAAGACCGTTAAAATGAGTTGTGATTCTGCTTTGCGTTTAAAACTTTTGAGCTGTCCCCAAAAAACCCCTTTTGGGGTCCCAAGCAAACTTGTCACATGAACCAGAAGCATTATTATTATGTTATATAAAGGTATACAGAGTATAGAACTCCTTGTGTAACTCATGGAAAGGTTAAGACGGTTTCTTCATACTTTTTCCTAACACTGTGTATGAGGTGTTCGTTTGCCTTCATAATCATAAATATAAACGCCTTCAACTCTTCAAAGGTAAATGTATATTTTATTTCTTTTCATATCTAAAAAGTATAACAAAAGACTTGAGCCAATAGTGAACAGTTAAATGATTTTTAAAAGGTAAAACGATATAAAATCTCTTTGTTTATATTCCTTCAATATTTTTAAACTAATCGCTTGAAAAAATATTGGATGAAAGATGAAATCTGCCAATTCCATTTCTGCAAGCGTCAGACCCTAGTACAAAGAAGCAATTTTCAATCATATTTTTCCCAACAAATGGGAGTTATATCCTTTTCTGAGCTCAGGGCAAACGACTTGGCTTTGTCTATATATCTATGCATTTATATTACGTTATCTATACCTTTTTGGTTTGTCTTTATTTCTTACATTTTTACTATTTATGTAAATTTCAGTTCTAAAAAATATCAAAAACCATTTTATGAAACTAAAAAAAATATTTATGAAAATAAATAGTTGAAATAGCTAATTAAAATAACCAATCTTACTCGATGGCTAAAACTATTCCTCTAATTATT